CCATAGATTCATTTTGCCTGTTTTTAATTCCATATAACTAGAACATTATGTACTTTTCTGTGTCTGGCTTCTTTTTCTCAACACTATGGTTTGTGCAATGTAGCCATCTTATTGCATGTAGCAGTGGGTCATTCGTTTTTACTGCTGCAGACTAAGAATATATCACAATTTATCCATTTTACTGTTGGTAGACATTTGCAGTTATTTCCAGTCTGAGGCTATCTAGAATAAGTTGTCATGAACATTCTTGTACTTGTCTTTTGGGTGCACATGTACACACATGATCCATTTTTAAGGGAAGGAAGTTGTTTGGTTGAGAGCACTACAAAATGGGTAAGGACAATAAAGGCACTTGTCAACCAATTGGACAAGTTTATCATAAGCAACTACTGTATAAAACATGGGTTCAGCCAAGAGAAAGTACTTGGGGAAGAGATACACCATTGAGTGTGGGAATACACAGAGAACAGGGAGCAGAAAGACTGTAATTAAGTACAAAATTGCATAGGCCCAGAGTAGAAGCAACTTTTAGAACTTCTGGGCTAAATAAAGCTAGATAGTTTAATATTAGAGCTGGATTCACCCCTCCTGCTCGCCCAGAGTCCATGACTAGAAAAACCCCTGGAGGACATGCATGTGGAGAGGAATGGGGCTGTAGGTCTGGGGGTCATTGCCTTAGACCCCAGGCATGTTTCTATTAGAGTCTCCTCTTCTTCCTCTGTCTCCTACCCCTGAAACTAAGGCTAAAACCTTCGTGAGTGGAGGAACTTCAGATGGACTCTGGCTCCCTCCACACTACGTGTTCTGGGAGGGAAAGAGGAGCCAGGGAAGACCCCCTCAAGAGCAAGTGAGGGGCTTATTAGATGCAAAATGTCATGATTAACAACTGAAGTTTGATGTCTGGGCTTTTTGAAAGCCAGTGTAGGTGAGGAAGGGGAAAGGGGAAGCTGAGAGGCAGTATTGGGATTAGAAGAAGAGGATAGCTGTAATGATAATAATAATAGGTTGGGACAATAAAGGCACAATAATATTCAACCAATATATTGCCCTATTCTTTATATTTGCATCGTGTAACAATTTACAGAGAGTTTCCATATTCTTAACTTCCACGCCTCTGTGAGGTGGGCAGGGCAGATATTATCCTCATTTTGCCGATCTGCCCAAGAACACAGTTAGATGGAAGCTACCATCAGGACCCTAAGCCATATCCCCAGTTCCTCGGGAGCCACAGAACTCAGTCCCATTCCTTGGAGAAAGTGGAATAGAGAAAAGAGCAAGGCAGGGACAGATGCCCCTTCCCGCACCCCCCCCCCCTCCCGGGTAGGATGACAAATATGACAAGGGTCCTGGAAATGGCCAGAGGCTAAAGCAATGTCAAGGGAAGAGATGGAGAGATTGGAAGCTGTGACTAAAGCAAAACTCTGTACCATCTGGCTTTAGTATGGAGTCATCTGGAAAGGTGCACTGAGGCCCACGGGATACGCCCAGTCTTTGCCTCAGGAGTAGGGGGTGACTTTGGCCGCGACACCTCGCGTCTGGGGACTTCAGGGTTTGGAAAGTAAAGCTTCCCGGGGCGCCCCACGGAAGATGGGAACGAGGTGGCACCGCCCCCTCCCGGACGCGCGTAGAGCGCCTTCTGTCACCATACACCACCCTGCTAAGGACCCAGAGATGAGCTGGCCTGCCCAGGTGCGCCGGGGGTTGGGCTGGAGCCTGCAAGGTGTGCTGCCCGCCCCAGGCATGTCTCTGCGACCCGCCCCCGCATGAAAGTGAAAGTGTCCGGGCCAGCGGAGGTAGAGGATTGGGGGGCGGGGCCGGCGCAGACCTGGGCGCGGGCGCCTGGCACTCGAGGGGCCATGGATGGGCTCGGCCGCCGCCTTCGAGCCAGCCTGAAACTGAAGCGCGGCTCTAGGGGTTAGTGCCGGGTCGGGGCGCGCCGGGGCAGGGGCGCTGGGGCAGTGCCGGAACTGGGGGCAAGGACTGGAGGCTGACAGTGGTGGGGGGCCAGGGTAAGGGGGGCGCCGAGGCTGGGGAGCGGGAACAGTTTGAGGCGGATTCAGCAGGGCTGAAGACAGGGCGCAGATAGAGGTAGAGAAAATGGTTAGGTGGGGGCGGGGCGGGGTCGCAGGTCAGCGGGGTGGTGAGGTCTAACGAGGTGAGGGGCAGGCAGCCGATCTGAGGAAATCCTTGTGGGGCCCCGGGGCCACGTGTCCTTCCAACCAGGAAGCTTGTGGTGCAACCGCAGTGAGCCTGAAACGCCTGGCTGCGGCGCCCTCCAGGGAGACGCCGCCTTAGCCCCACGCCTGCCCGCTGCTCCGCCCCACCTCGCTAACCTGGGACCCTGCTGTGGCTTTTTCACTGTTCCGAAGAGCGAGGCGCACGCCCCTGCCCGGCAAATACCTACCAGCCACAGAATCTGGTCTCCCGGTGGTTACTACCTCCACCCAGGGCCGTCGAGGTCAGAGTGTGGCCCCGGGCAGACCTGCTATAGAGCCTGGCTCAGCTACTTTCTTAGAGTGTGTGATCTTGATAAGTCACACTTATCCTATTCCCCAACCCTTCATCAGAGAAATGGAATAATTCCTCCTGCCCAGTGTTGTGGGAATTAAATTAGAACTCAATATTAATTTCTTTTCTTCCTTCTTAGTAGGAGGGCTGGACTTTGGCAGGAAAGCAATTAGGAATTCATTCATTCATTCAACAAATATTTATTGCTGCTTATGACTAACCAGTCCTATGGCTGAATGGCCATAACCCCTAGAAACTTTGCCTAGAGATCCTGCCTTCTGGGGAGAAAAGAGCAGATTAAAAAATGGACAAATGTCTGAGGCACAGCAGTCCAAGGACAAGGGCTAGTAGGCAGGAGGGGACAAGAAAGCTGGTGATAGGGAACCCAAGGTTGAGAAGGGACAGTGTTGACATGTCATGGGGTTGTTAACCATTGTCATGGGGCAATATGTGTACTAACTGTTTAATGAGAAACTCTTTGTTCTGTAAACCTTCATCTAAGGTTCAAAAAAAAAAATTATCTATGTGAGATCAAATTGACAACAGCAACTCAAAAGGTTTGATGGGAAGCCTAGGGGGCAGTGAGTTGAAGATAATGGTGATGGAATAAGTTGGAAAAGTATAGTGAGAACAGCAGCACAACTGGAAGAATGTAATTGATGTCACTGAATTGTACATGTAGAAACTTTTGAAATGGTGTAACTTTAGCTATGTATATTTTCACCAAAAAAAAGTCCTCCAAGGTGGAGAAGGCAGTGTTGACATGTCATGGGGTTGTTAACCAATGTCATAAAACAATACGTGTACTGACTGTTTAATGAGAAACTATTTGTTCTGTAAACCTTCATCTAAAGTACAATAGAAATATACATATATATATATATATAGAGAGAGAGAGAGATAATTAAACAATTTCAGGCCCAAGGAAGGCTGCTTTGTTTGGCAGCTTGACTCTACTAACAGATGAACTTGTTTTGCAAGCAAATTAGTAAACAAATCTGTTAAATACAATTAATTTGGTTTAAAAAAAAAAAAGGACAGGTGTCATTTCAGACAGCCCACCCCTTCCAACATTGGCAAGTCAAGAGGATGAGTGAGCCCCCTCCAAACCTTCGATCTGGGGAGACTCGAGGGGGTGAAGTTGGTGCTCCCTGCTCTGAACTGAAGTGACCTCTGAGTCATCTGATTTTTGTCTTGTTCCCCTTTCTTCTGCCAACCTTCTCCCCCAGCCCTTGTTGTTCTCCCTAAAAACAGGTCTCTCACCAAGGGGGAGAGGTCAGAGACCATGGGTTCCTGGGTTCTGCAATGACTGTGAGTGACTGGAGCAGAATGCAGGACGGGGCTGGTGTTCCCTCTTCTCAGGAGGGCACTGATCAGGTCTTTTCTGTCCTCCCCTGATCCTCAGAAGTCTGTGTGAATGGATGGGGTCTGCTCCCACAGTTCAGACGAAACATTCCAGTTGTTCTCACCCACCCCAGTACCAACACAGGGCTGATGACTGTGCCTGTAGGAGGTTCCTGGAAGTGGAGAAACTGTAAGATGAGCACCCAAGTATTAACCTGTCCGGTAGTTTGGCACCTGTCAGGCCAGGAGAGTGTGCCCTCTTCACTCCATCTTCTATACCATCTTCCACCTTCCTCTTTTGCCTTTTGGCCTCAGGACAGTTGTGTAGGAGCAGGCTGAGGGGTGTGTGTGTGTGTGTGTGTGTGTGTGTGTGTGTGTGTGTGTGTGTGTAACATCCTGGTGGGGGTGAGGGAGGTGGTCCTAGGTTGAGGGGAGACAAGCTAGAAGAGGAAAGCCCAGCTTTCCAAATCAAGGTCCCAGAAGGTCCCCTCGCCTATATTCCAGACAGTTCCGGGACTTCTTGAAGCGACTGTGGGAGGGCTCCCTAGTGGAGGAACAAGTATAACCAGACTCCTGACTTACCTAGAAAGGGTGGCTCCCTCCTCAACTAAAAACTCAGGATAATAATTCCTTTCTAGGGCACTGGGGATTAAAAGAGATGACTTATATGAAACGTATGAGTTTGATGGATATTAGTTTTCTCTCCTGTTGTAACCCCCTACGAAAAAGGGGAGAGCACATTCTTTTTCTGGATTTCTTGGCTTCGGCCCTCAACTCTAGTTACTTCTTCTATCAAGGATTTGAGTTTTGCTATTCTCTTGGCTCCCCTGATAAAGCAGGAGGAAATGGGCTGAAAATGAAGCCCAAAGGATTTAGAGAAAGAGCTAGTTTCCTAAAGTTCTGGAATGACCAGTGAGAAGATTCTGGTTCTCAAAGACCTTTGCAAAGCAGGGGGTATCCTGCCTCTGTGGGATGTTTGGTGTGTGATGCACCCAGAAGGCAGGGGCATGGACACGGATATCTCATAATCCCCACCCTCACTAACCAAAAAACCAAACCCATTTTCATTGAGTCGATTCCGACTCATAGCAACCCTATACAACAGAGTAGAACTGCCCCCATAGAGTTTCCAAGAAGCACCTCGTGGATTCGAACTGCCGACCTTTTGGTTAGCAGCTGTAGCTCTTAACCACTATGCCACCAGGGTTTCCCCATCCTCACTAGGTCCTGAATTACTCTGTGCCTCAGTTTCCCCATCTGTGTCAGGAAGATGCTTGTTGCTCAGACAGGTAGTGAGGATTAGGTAACAAGTCTGCAGGCTGGGAGTAAGGCATGGTGATGGCTGTGGTGACAACTCCAAGTGTCCTGGTTCACTCTTTTCCCCCATTACAGCATTTATAACATCATTATTTACTGTGATTGGGGCTTCCTCTCAGGAGTCCTGGCTGGGACACTGAGTCCTAGCTTTTACTAGTCCCACAAAAACCAGTCTAGTGGTCTTAGGAGCACGACAGCCATCTCCCTTGCCCCAGTAAGTACCTCCCTCCCTTCCAACCAAAAACCAAACCCGTTGCTGTGAGTCAATTCTGACTCATGGTGACCTCATGTGTTACAGAGTAGAACTTGGCTCCATAGGGTTTCTTGGCTGTAATCTTTACAGAAGCAGATTGCCAGGCCTTTCTTCCTTGGTGCTGCTGGGTGGGTTTGCACCGCCAAACTTTAGGTTAGCAGTCAAGTGTAAACTGCTTGTCACCAAGGACCTCCTCCTCCCAGAGGGGCTGCTAATTCTTTGAATGAGTGGCAGACACTGGAACCAAACCAATTTACCCCCTGCCTCCTCTTTGAGACAGCTTCCTAGAAAAGTCCTCTCCTCCTACCTCCTGCATTTACTCATTCAAGGGCTTATATAAGAGTCCTAGGTGAGGTGTTGCCATTCTCTCCAGACACAGCTGACAGCTGGCTCCCCACTGGACCCCAGGGGCCAGCTGCTCTGCTTTCAGCTGACCCAACAGGGAAAAGGCTGAGCAGGAGTGGGGGTGGAGATGGAGATTACCTGGATGCTTTCCATAGCCACTGGGTGACCCTCAGGTTAAAATGCAACAGTCCCCACTCTGGGCCAGGGAGAATCTCTTGAGTCATTACTTCTTATTTGGGAAAAGTGATCCTTGGCTGGAGCCTGGGAACAGTTCCCAGTGTGGGAATTCTCTGTCTTAGTCCAGGAAGTGCTGCAGGGGGTGAGAGATACATGTTGTAGAAATTCCTGAAATATCAGTAACTCTCCAGCTCGGAGGTAGACTTTACTCTCGCTTTCACCACCAGGAGAGACTTTTAGATCTGTATTGGTTTAAAGGACTCCCTTCTCTCGCTGGAACAATGTATCCATTTAGATAATTATTGGGCCAAGCCTATTTATCTTAATCAGGGTCAGGCAGCTGGCATCCTGCAGGGAGGGTTTGGGCTTGTGCTCTGGGTTGGGGCCCTGAAGTCCTGGAAGTTCCAGAGATAGCAGGTGGCCTTGCATGGGAATTTTCAGTTGCTGTTGACCATGTTGGAGCCCTGGTGGCACAGTGGTTAAGAGCTTGGCTGCTAACCAAAAGGCTGGCAGTTCAAATCCACCAGCCACTCCTTGGAAACCCCGTCGGGCAGTTCTACTCTGTCCTATAGGGTCGCTATGAGTCTGAATCCACTCGATGGCAACGGGTTTGTTTGTTTTTGCTGACCATGTTGAGAAGTGAAAATTCAGGAATCAAAGTTATGGGGAGATAAGATCCTTGACCTGGGACCTGCACGGTTCCACTGCCCACAGTCCCATGCTATCGAGCATTCTTCGCTGTCCCAAGCTTGTAAATAAACCCACTGCACAACCTGCAGACAGGAATTCAAAGCCCTTAGCCCAGAAGCAGCTGGGCCTTGGAGGTGTTTGCTCATGACCTTTTCTCTCACCGCAACCCGAGGCTCTGGGAGGAGCTGAGGTCTGAGCTGCTGTGCCAGGATGCTGCCTCTGCCGGTGCCGCGTCCTGCTGCCTTCCTGGGTCCCGTCACATCCTCCTTGCTCAGCCACTGAGTGCACAGCATGGAAGCCACTCTCCCCTGTTTGGAAGGCAGTGTGTGGCTCTGCATGGTAGAGTTGTGGTTGATGACTGAAGCAGGATCCCTTTTCTCAGACTCTCTGTAGCCAAGCTGTGTTGGAGGAAAGGGAGGCACTTCATGCCCCACAGGCCCAGAAGATGGAAGGACCAGCGGTAGGCCGGGTTCTCAGGCTCTTCCGCAACCAGCTGCCCTGGCTCCGAACAGGTCTGGACTGGAGAGCCCACTTCCTTTTTTCCAGGGTGACCTTCTTAGAGGGGACTCTTTCTTCTTTGAAATGCTCCTTCCTCCTCTTGCTTTTATATCTCTACCAACACATGGCCCCTCATGTGACCAGGCCGGGAGGTTTCCTCTGTTGGTTTCCGAGCCAGCTGTGCCCTCTGCGGGGATTGTGGGGTCACAGTCACATGGCCCTATTGTGGTTTATTTAGTACATGTCTACTCAGGACATGCTGTGTTTTAGGCACTGGGTTAGGACCGGGGCAACCCACAAGTAGGCAGAGTTGCTGCAGTACCCTGGGGCATATGGCCACCCATGTGGCCTCCCCAGTACATGTCCTTGACTTCCAAGTTAGTGGTTTCTTTCCAACTCTTGGTGCCGCGTGGTTTCAAGTCTGCAGTGCAGATGTGGAAACTGCCCAGTTGGCTCTGATCCTGTTCTGTGACCTGAAGTGCTGTCTGTGTACTGGGCAGCCAGATTCCAGGTGCCTCGGCGCCGGCAAGGCGGCCTCAGGTGGTAGAAGGTGCTTGGCTTCTCACAGACTCTGCTCCAGGCATGGACAGATGAGATGCTGATTGGGCCCTGGTGTCTCGTCTCGGTTTTAAGGATCTTCCCAGGCCAATGCAGAGGAAGCTGTAAAGGAACCTGAAAGGGCCCGGGAGCTCCCTCTGCCCAGGTTTGTTGGAGGACAGCACTTCTTTGAATATCTTCTTGTGGTTTCTCTCAAAAAAAAGCATTCCGGGGATGATTATGAGCCTACAATCACCTACCAGTTTCCCAAGGTAAGGATTTGGGGCAAGAGGCAGGTGCGTGTGAGGGGATGCAGAGGACCGGGGGATTTGAATGGTGGTGGTGGGAGTACTATCTCCCTCTCCCCGCCCTATCAGTGCTGAGCCTGGAGGTGCCCTGAGCTGCTGCCCTCTATTCCCTTCTTAAACCAGCCCAACTTTTTGTTATCACCCACAGAATCTAGGCCTTACTGCTTTGTGAAGAATTGACTGAGGCACCAAGCACAGCCTCAGCTCCTTCCCTAGCAGGGAAACTAGGCTAGTTGTTTAGACCCTTCTGGGACCTCACAGTTCTTTCAAATTCTGTCTTCAGTCACCCTTCTCTGGAGAGAAGCAGACCTCGATGGAAGGATCCCCTGCCTGGGATGTGTGGGAAGGACAGGGTGGGGCACAGCTGGTGGGCAGGCCCAGCACTCTGGCCACAGCCCAAGCATCAGGCTCCTGCTCGTCTGATTTGTGCTGAGTAAAGGGGTGGGGACAGTGTATCCTCCTCATTAACCCTGGCAGCTCAGCAACTGAGCTGGCTGCTTCTCTTCTCTCTAATGTGGTCTCTCTCTGACGTGGCCCTCCTAGGGCATCTGCCATCTCAGGGCCTTTCTGTATTCAGTGTGGCCAGGACCCCCTTCCTGACTGTGTTGATCTTTGGGATACTGAAATTCACGTGGGTGAACCTGGCCAGGGAGGGGCTATCTCAGCTTTGGGGGCATTCCAGCCAGACCCAGAATGAAGTCCCGGTGCAGAGTGACAGGTGAAGGCACCCTTTGGGCCTCATCCCAGGGGGAAAGCTTAGAGCCTAGAAGAAGCTTCCAGCCCTCAAACCTCCCTTTCCCTCCCCTCCACAATCCACTTACCTTTTTTGTCTGCTTATAGCGGGAGAACCTGCTACGGGGCCAACAGGAGGAGGAAGAACGGCTGCTCAGTGCCATCCCCTTGTTCTGCTTCCCAGATGGGAATGAGTGGGCGCCTCTCACTGAATATCCCAGGTAATTACTCAGCCTTGGGACAGGGGAGTCTGAGATAGGGGAGAGTATGAGTAACACTAGAGCCGTGTGGCCCCTGTGCTCCCCACCTCACTTGGTGTATATACCCATTTTCCACTAGCTTCTCTCCTGTGGGAAGGGACTGGGGTTGATTCATTTATGAACATCTTGCCTGGGGTCTCTCAAGGCAAGGGTATAAGCCATTTGTTTGACCAGTCATCTCCTTCCAGAGGAAGGCGAGGTCCTCTCACCTGTCCTAGGAGAGATCGTCACTGTCCTCTCTCCTGCTGTTTTGATCTGCCATAGGCAGAAACTGGACTCAGCTGAAGGCCTCTAAGAAGGCAATACAGCAAAGTCCCTTCCAGCATGAGTCCTGGGATTTGGCTACCTGAGTTAGAATTCTGGCCCAACCACATGTGAGTTGAGTGAGCTTGGTAAGAAATGCCCACTCACAGCCTCAATCCCTTCATCTTTTAAGTGGGGACAATAATTGTACCTACCTCATAGGGTGGTTTTGAGAATTAAATGAGATGATATGCTTAGGGCTTGGTCCCCAGTAAGCACTTAATAAATTGCAGGTGTCGTTTCTACTGTCCTGATTCAGCAGCAGCTCTCTGCCCTTCTGCCCACCTCCTTTCCACCCCTCTGAGGCTGGCCACCTTTCTGCTTTAGAATCCAGTGAGCAAATGCAAACCAAGCCTTATTTGCTCTTTTCCAGGGAGACATTCTCCTTCGTTCTGACCAATGTGGATGGGAGTAGGAAGATTGGATACTGCAGGCGCGTCTTGGTCTGTACAGCTCAGAACTGCCCCCTCCTCTCTGCAAACTGCTCAGCTCCACAGCTGGGCTTACTCAAGCCTCAGCTGCAAAAGCTAAGGGATCATGGGAGCGGTGGTTGTAGAGAGAGTAAAGCCCAGCACCTGCTGCCATGTTAGTGCCCGCTCTGCATCCCTGCAAGAGGGAGGCACAGAACCCCTCCCTGCTAGTCATGCCTGGTCTGTGCTCTCCCTAGCTGTCAACAGCCCCTCTCATTGTGGGAGGCTGCAACCTGCACCTCTCTCTGCCTTCTCTATCCAGGTTGAGTGGCCTTGGGTCCTAGGCCTCCCAGAGCATAGGCTGGGATTTGAACAACTCAGTTCAATTCTTGGGTCTCAGGAGGATTCTCCCAGTCACCCCCACAGTGGTTTTCTCCTAGCACTTCCTCATCTAAAACACACTTCCCCCTCTCTGAGCTGACCCCCAGGTGGTGTTGGCACTGCAGGCAAGCATTGCTTGCCTGTGAGCCCCCCAGCCCCATCAAGGCCATCTTCTTTTGACCTTGGTGGTCACTCTGGCCTCTTTGCTGCCTGTCCTGTGAGCAGGACCTTTGTACAGCCAGGCCTTTCTCTCCCTGGCCCACCATTCACCATAAATCCCCCGCACTCCAGTCCCCAGCCTTGAGCCCACCCTAGCCCCAGCTGGGAAAAGTCCCTGGGAAAGCCACAGCACTGAAGGCACCTCTCTGCCCTCCCCAGCCCACCGGCCGTGGCCCTCGCCTTCCCACAGTGTACTGCATCCTCAGCTGCATCGGCTGCTTCGGCTTGTTCTCCAAGGTAGGGTGGACAGGATTTCTCAGGGCCTGTTAGTCCTCTTCCTTTTCTGGGCTCAGCCTGGCTCCCTGCCTCTGCCTTTGCCCCCTGGGCCCTTAGGGGAGCTCCTCCCCCACAGCTGGGCTCAGCATCAAGGAGGCACACTTGGGAAAACTGAGGCAGAGAGGAGCTTGAGCTTGACTGATTTTAGCGAAAAACTGGAACTGAACTCAGGGGCGTGTTTCACCTGCAGAGAGAGCCATTTTCCCCACTGTAGTGAGGTAAGAAGGGAATTGAAGCAGGACGGGGGGAGGAGCCCCAGGCCACGGAGTTTCGGGAGTCTTCTGTCTTGAGTTTCAATTTCCCCCTCTGTCAAATGGATGTAATAACCCCTCATCCTCCTACCTCACAGGCTGGTGTTAGGTTCAAATAAGGAGATATATGAGAGGTTATTATATGATGCAGAGCACTAAATAAATATGAAAAGAATTATAGAATAGGGGTCCGAGCAGAGGTGTATCTATGGGAAATAGTGCCAACGGTGGGCACTGAAATGGTGCCCCTGCAGGGGCATAGGGAGGGTTATCAGTGCCCAGGGGAAATCTTTAAATTGCCTGTCCCTCCCAGTTCAGGTGTTTAGGGGCAATCTCTAAGTCACACTTCCCCTTGTCTGCAATTTCAAGATGAATAGATAGAGGCAACTTGCTGGGAAACACCTTCCCCTTCTTGTCTGGCTGCCTCAGTCAGGCAGCTTTCACGTTTGTGGTGCCTTGGAAAGTCATTCAGTGCCTTGTCTGGTGCTCCCTTGGATTTGAGCACGGGGGCAACTGCCCCCTTCAGCCCCCCCACCCCCACCCCCCATGCCTCTGTGTCTACCGTGCTGAGGAAGAATGTTGGACGGAACCGGATTAATCGAAACTGTTCGGTAGTGCCCCCCCGCCACTGCCTTCAAGTTGTGCCCAGGGCATGTGCTATACCTACCATACCTTAGATACACCTCTGGCCCTCCCGAGACTCCCTCTGACTAATATGGGGGTAGAAGAGAAGTTGAGGTTCCCAGGACTTCTGCTGGAGCTAATATGAATGTCACTATACCCGAGTCAGGATCAGAGAGGATTTCTTCCAAATGGATGGGGCATTTCTTGGTGGCCACAAAAGGGCTCCGTGTACTCTGCCCCCATGGAGCAGGGGGAGGGAAACTGCCAGCCTTTGCTTAGGGGGAGTGTTCATCTGTGCAGTGGTCAGAGGGATGGAAGTTGAGCTGATCCTGGGAGTCTCCAGTGAAACTTGGAGGACAGAGTTGACACCCGAGAGGCTGACTTCTAGGCCCTGCTCCAAACAGTACAAGTGAACATCATCCCATCAGAGTTGAGGAGTTTACCCTGGGATGACTTCCCAGGGGAAGGGAGGAACATGGATTGGTGGAGAGAGGGTGAAAAGAAGGCTCAGCAAAAACAGGTCTTATGTAGGAGATAAACAGCAGATTATTTGGCTTGAAACCAGTTTCTGCCAGGGAGGGAGAGAGAGCCAGTTGTGGAGGAGCCTCGAGAACTGATGAGGATTAACTGGACCAGCACAGGAGCCTCACCATGCAGGATCCCTCATCATGGGAACATGTGGGATCTCTGCCCCCTACCCAGTGCACCCCTATGAGCTGTGCCTCCCATCGTCCTTTTCCATGCAGATCCTGGATGAAGTGGAGAAGCGGCATCAGATCTCCATGGCGGTCATCTACCCGTTCATGCAGGGCCTCCGAGAGGCAGCCTTCCCTGCTCCTGGGAAGACTGTCACCCTCAAGAGCTTCATCCCTGACTCAGGCACTGAGGTGGGTTAGCAACATGGGTGAGACCCTCCCTAGCTGGAGAGGGCAGGCCTCTGTGTCACCTCTCCCCACTGTTCTTCCATTCACTAAGTTAATATACAGAGAAACTGAGGCAGGCAGGACTGGACTTGATTAGAATTACTGGCAGAGCCAAAAACCAAACCCAAATTTTCTGATCCTCCCAACCTGATGCCCACAAAGACCTAGTTACTATTCAAGCTACCAAGACTTCTATTTATAACAAAGCTATCACAGAAGTTGAGACCTCTGATACTAGAGACTTTGTCCCCAGACCTCAATCTGCCACTTGCTCTTCTACTCACCCTTATTCTCCTGTCTCTGTCCTATACCTTCTAGCCTCCATGTCTATTTCTCATCATCCATCTTCACCCCCTGAGTTCCACCCATTCCACATGGGGATGCTGTTGTATTAAGGCCACTCAGGCAACTGAGGCAGCAAGGATTAAGCAGTAGAAAATCATTCTAAGAATTCTAGCCCTGACTCCTGGTACTCTGGATAAGATTGTGTGCCCCTTTGAGCCTTGGTTTCCCCATATTAAAATAAGAGGAGGGACTAGATTTTTTTCATTCACTTAAAAAATAAATATTGAATGCTTACTGTGTGCCAACCCCACACTCCCCCAAAAAACAAAACCAAACCTGTTGCTGTCGAGTCGATTCCAATGCGTAGCAACTGTATAGGACAGAGTAGAACTGCCCCATAGGGCTTCCAAGGAGCAGCTGGTGGGTTCGAACTGCCAACCTTTTGGTTAGCAGCCAAGCTCTTAACCGCTGTGCCACCAGGGCCAAGAACTGTACTATTTTCTGGGTATAAAGAGGTGAACAAAATGAACATGGTCCTTGACCTCATTTAAAGTCCAGTGGAGGGGACAGACAAATAAACACACAAATAAATATATAATTACAAATTGTGTAATTGTGATTAAAGAAGAAAATAGGGTGCTACATGAGAAAATAATGGGGAAATACCCATACTCTTAGGTGGCCAAAAAAGGCCTCTGAGACCTGATTGAGAATGAGAATGAAGGGAGAAGAGAAATCCAAGGGGAGGGCCTAACCCCTGAAGGACTTCAGCCAGGAAAGAGCATGATATGTCCCAGGGACAGAAAGAAGCCAACATGGCTGAAGCATGGTGACAGAGGTGGGATGTGCTGGGTAGGACCAGAGAGGGAGATAGGACCTTGTGGCCATGCTAAGAAGTAAATCGACGTTATCCTTAGAGCAGAGGGAAGCCATCATCAGGTTTTTGCAGGTGAGAGATAGCAGATTCATTCCCATGGGGAAAATGGAGTAGAGGACAGTCGGATCCAAGGTCTGGGGTCTGCGTGATTGTGCAGTGTGATGACGCCCTTCCTTTCTGGTTTCCCCACAGTTCATCTCCCTGACACGGCCCCTGGACTCCCACCTAGAGCACGTGGACTTTAATTCTCTGTTGCAGTGTCTCAGTTTTGAGCAGATTCTACAGATCTTTGCGTCTGCGGTGCTGGAGAGAAGAATCATTTTCCTGGCAGAAGGCCTCAGGTAGGCCCAGCCACTGAACAGCTTCTCTGAACTGGCCAGCACCCCTGGGCGCAAGGGAACAGACTAGAGGGTTCTCAAAGGAGATCAAGCTGTAGGACCCTTGTGTTCACCCTCTTTCCAGTTCCTTGACCTGCACGTTAAGCCTAGAGAAACAGCTTCTGCAACTCCCCTTCTCCTGCCTCCAAACTTGATTGCTGCCTAGGCCTAAGGAAGTCTCTTGATTTAGCTCTAAGAGCATGAAGTTTTCCTGGGTCAGCCCAGGCAGGGACCACTTCGGGTGGATGCAGATCTGATTCTACCTTTGAAAAGCTGCAGGAGGCAAGGAGGGCAGAGGACAGGACAGGAATGTGTATAATGGTATGGAGGTTAAGCCGTCATCCTAACGACAAACATGTTTCATCTATCTATTCACTCACTCAGCAAACATTTATTGCATGTCAACTGTTTGTCAGGTGCGAAGCCTCAGGAAGATAAATACAAATAAGACAGTCCTTGACTTAAAGGAAATACAGAATTATGTAATGGTTGAAAGCATAGAGTTTAAAATTAACAGAAGGATCAAATCCTAGTCCTCCACCTTTAGCTATGTGGTTCTTCTTAGGTTAATTTCTTAACTTCTTGAAGTCATGACCTCCCCCTCTATAAAATGGAAATAATGATTGTACTACCTCATAAGGTTGTGGTGAGGATTAAATGAAACCAGTTGCCGTGGAGTCGATTCCAACTCATGGTGACCCAGGTGTGTCAGAGTAGAACTGGGCTCCATAGGGTTTTCAATGACTGATTTTTTTGGGAAGCAGACTGCCAGGCCTTTCTTCCAAGGTACCTCTGGGTGAACTTGAACCTCCAACTTTTTGGTTAGAGGTTAACTATTTGCACCACCCAGTGACTCTGAGGATTAAATGAGCTAGTGCATATTAGGTTCCTAGCACACTGCTGGGCACACAGTGGCCAGTAAGTGCTAGCTGCTTAGTAATACATTTTTAATAACATGTTCACAGTTGAGTGACTCTCTGTGTTTAGCTGAAGTAGGGTACTGTCAGAAATTGGTCTCTACTTCTGAGGTACTTCAAGTGTGAAAAAGACATAGTGAGGCATGTGACAGAATAGAGAAGAAAAAAAAATATCATAAAGCAGTAGGGGTTTGACCTTTTATCCATATCTGTGGAAGGAAAGAGCTAAGGATACTGGACTCACAATCCTTCTACCTTTTAGGGAGGATATTAGAGGCTCAAATAACAGAGGTCAGTGGGTTAGGTGAATGTCATGAGTTTCAGAGGGAAGGAAGTTTGGGCAGGGAGTGAGAACTGTGTTTTGAAAATTTTGTAAAAATCAGAGTGATAACCAAATAGGAACTGGTCATAGGCTCACCCTTGAGGGAAGTGACATAATCTTTTGCTTTAGAAATAGCTCATCCACTCCCGGCCCTGTATAGAAATGAGAAGTTTCCCTTGTGGCTGAAGCTGAGATTCTGTACCTTCCCAGAAGTACAGGTAGTTTGGGCATGGGCAAAGCCTGGCAGGACTTACATCCCAGGCATTAACATTCCTTGGAGAGATCCCTCACTCCCCAGTTCCTTTCCACACTGTTTTGCAGATCTCTGAAGCTTGGGCAGGGAGGGAACTTCCAGTCAGACTGGGCCTTGGCTAGACTCTCAGAAACTCAATCTTTCTAACTCAGGAAGTGCTAGCTTGATACCAGGAATTGAAACAAGTTTTCCGCATCTGTGTTTTTATTGGCCTTGGCTTGGGGGCAATTTGGCTGAAGAAATGAAGATCTATGAAAGCTAATGGAGAATTGAGAAGACAGAGTGTGGGGTTGTGTGTGGGGTGGAGTGGGACTGGGTTGTGATTTTGGCAGTAATTATATGGGGAATGCTTCATTGGAGCCACCTCTGTGGGACTTTCCATGTAGGAATTGCTGGGCAGAGCTTCCTGGAACCTAGGGATTTCCCAAGCTAACTCAGGCACCGACCTGGTCATTTTAGGTCACCATGAGTTGGAATTGACTCCATGGCAACTGGTACTGGTAGAGTGGCCAGAGGGAGTCATGCAGGGTAAAGTCTGGAGATAAGGGCGTATAGACATAAAGAGGAAAAAAGGTCTTGCTGTGCCCTCAAGGCACACCATATGCACTTCCTTAACACTGTAGTGTAATGGCTGGTTTACAAGCTTGTTACCATCATTATACTGTGAGTTCCTTGAAAGCAGGGACGATGTCTTGTTCTTCCTAGTAGCCACATCCTTAGCAGTCCCTGAGCACATAGTAGAGGCTCAATCAGTTATCTGTTGGAATGAAGACATCTGTCCTTCCCTTCCCTGTTTAGAGCCTCTGGTGGTGCAGTGGTTAAAAGCTTGGCTGCTAACCAAAAGGTCAGTAGTTCGAATCCACCAGCCGCTCCTTGGCAACCCTATGGGGCAGTTCTACTCTGTCCTATAGGGTCACTATGAGTCAGAATTGACTCGATGGCAACAGGTTTGGCTTTCTTTTTGTTTGGGTTTTTGGCCAGTAGAAAGTTGAGAAGACTAACCGGGAGAAGGGTCAAGTAGAGATCCATCCTTGATTAGTGGAGCCTCAGCCTCTCCTAGTTTCTGCCCTTCCCCACAGCAACAAGTCATCACATGCTCTGTGACCCACATGGCTCTTAGATTTGCTTTTGCGTATCGGCACAAGCAGACATGTAGCAGCTGCTGTGCCGTGGGTGGCGAGCTTTGTAGGGGTATGGAGTGTAAGGGTGTGGGGTGCAGGCACAGGGAGACTCCTCGCTGTGGCTCCACAGGGCACTGGGGGCCCCTGACTCTCGTTCCCTGTGCTCTGTCCCCAGCACCCTCTCCCAGTGCATTCACGCCACTGCTGCACTGCTCTACCCCTTCAGCTGGGCACACACCTACATCCCTGTTGTCCCAGAGAGCCTTCTGGCCACCGTCTGCTGCCCTACCCCCTTCATGGTTGGAGTGCAAATGCGGTTTCAGCAGGAGGTTATGGACAGCCCCATGGAAGAGGTATGATGCAACAGGTAGCGTGAATGATTTGGAGCCAGGCAGACTGGGATTTGAATTCCAGCTCTGCTACTAACAGCTGTGTGATTCTGGGCACGTTAATCTCTCTAAGTCTGAGCCTCCTTGTTTGTGAAATGGGGATAACTGTTTAGTTCATAGGGATTCTGGGGGAAATAACCTCTGTAAAGCCCCTAGCTCAGTGCCTGACACATAGTTGGTGCTCACTAAGGGTTTGCTCCTCTCTCTTGAATGATTTCCCTTTGGGCTTAAGAAACAACACGTAGCTTATTGTGAGGTCATCAGACTGTCCTACACCCAGCTGGTCCCATGAGCAGTTCCTAGGGTACGCCATCTCTCATCTTAATGGGTCATCACAGCTGGTTTATACAACACATACCCCACTGGAATTCTTTCAAGTTTCTTGGAAGAGAGCTAATGGCTTCCTCCTGAAAACTATGAGTCTTGGTTGATGTCTAATCTTGAAAATACAGATTTTTATAGCAAAAGCCATCTTGCTGATTAGCCCAGCTGCTCAGAGCTCAGTTGGCTTAGGGGACATGGGTCCAAATCCGCTTTGATCCATTAGCTTCTTGGTTCTTGATTGTAGGCTGTGCCCCAGACATAGCAGAGGGCTCCGTTGTAAAGATGGGCATTAATAGCAGTGTTTAAAAACAACTCAAAACATGTGCTGTGCTTTGAGTTGTGGGTAGGGAGGGGTCAGTAGGAATCTTCAAAGGATAGCCTATTACTATATCCTAAGCCAGAGGAGCTACTTGGGTATGTCTACACTGGCTAACAGTTGACTCACTCTGTGCAGGCAGAGCACCTACCAAGGGGAAAAGGAGGGTCTAGAAGTAGATACTAAAGCGGTATGGTCTTCCCCATTTTACTTAACATAAAACTGAGGCCCAGAGAACTGAATTGACTTATCTGAGGCCACACAAGCAATGATGGAACTCTAGCAGAGATAAATCCAAAGCCCCTCTAATAAAAGTAGGCAGCAATTCCATTTCCCAGGAGTATTGCTGGGAAGTAAAGAAGCAGGCTGTTTCCCTTCCTTTTTCCCCTGGTCCTCCCACCGTTCCTCAGAACTGCTTAGTACACATGCCCTTTGAACCAGCCTTAGTCTCGTGATGAAGTGGGACAGAGTAGTAGCCCCGTGTTTAGCAATAAGACTTAAAAATGTCCCAACTAGGAAGTTATGAAACTTCCTGACTCTGCAGCTACAGTTCCTCAGAAGCTGCAGCTCCTCCCCTGAAAGCCAGGTGGAAAGACACCTGAAGGCCAGCAGGACCCTGGCTCCCACTCTCCAAGAGTTCTGGCCTATTTTATTCCTCAGCAGCTGCTTTGTGAACGGGCAGGGGATGGGAAAGGGAGAGGAACATATGGTGAGGGTAGATGTTGGGGAGATTCTCTGACTCCCCACAGAAGCTCTCTGGAAGAGATTACTCCACAGATGGTAGTATAGTCCAATACGGGAAAGCTCCGTGGGAGTAATCTCACACAAAAAATTCTTTGCCCATACTCTTTCCTCAAATGCCCCACATGAACAGACTTCCCTACGTGAAGCCTGAGCCTATGTATACATGCGGTTTCAGGCCTGGACTAGTTCAACCTTTCTCCCCTGATGATTGATAATTACAGTGCCCGCTCTGTCTTTTGGCATATTTTCCAGTCACTCTCTTTCCTTTTATTTAGAAGGGAAAATTCATTGTCAAGACAAAGGGTCATGAACTAAAACGCGTAGAGGGGCCCAACAGGCATTTAAGTGACCAACACAGGCTTTGGGGTGGGGGGGATTGTGGTAAACTGGGGAGCCCGTACGTACCCTGCCTGAAGTCTGCTACACAGTTCCATCTGAAAGCTGCCCTTAAGAGACTGGACCAGTGTTGTCAGAGCTCCCGATTTTTTAGGAGAAGCCAGAAATCCAAATGTTACATGAAATTTTCCCATTTAAATATTGCAAATTACTTCAATTATTTAGAAATACTATGTGGATCAATGAAACAGATCTGCAAGCGAGAATCAGTTAGCAGGCTGCCTATTTGTAACCACTAGTGTAGTTAAGGCCCTTCAGGCAGTGATGGAGCTGGTCTGAGAACTCAGGTCCCCCAGATTCCAGCCCTGTGCTTGTCTCACCTGCAGTCTGTAGACACATTGTCTTGGTCTCTCCACATCCTTTCCTTTCCTCCTCCTGTTGACCCTGGGCCATTTCCTTCTCTTCCTGAGTTTCCTGCTGGAAGGCC